AGACTACAATTGGCATTCTGAGCCAACCTCCACAAAAATGGAGGTCTTCAAGTCCACAAGTCATCTAAGCATAATGGCAGTTTCAACTTTAATTCTTGTACCTGAAATATGCCCCAGTATCGTAGGGGTGAGTAACATAAAGCTACTCGTAGGAAATGAGCATGCATCGACCTATGTTTTACAAGTTTGCATGATTTAATTATAGTGGTTCATTCCACCTAACGTCTATGTCAAAGGTGAGACTCAAGGAGCATCCTAGCTACCTAAGATCATTTCTAGCATCAATCACCTCATTCATGCAATTTTAGCAACATAGGGTCATGCTTACACAAAGCAACAACATAGGAGCATACTTACACAAAGCAACAACATAGAGATTCTCAAGATAATCAACTTGAAGTCTAAAATGCAACATCAACTAAATACAACAATTTAGCATAATGAGAATATCTAATACCACACATCAAGACATAGATTCTCTAGGTTATCAACTAGAAATCTAAAAGTGTGAAATCAACTAAATATAGCAATTTAGTATGGATGTACTTAACAACATCAAAATCGCCAATAGCCAAAACCATAAGTCAACAAGGTAAATATGATTGTCAACTTAGAATTGAATGCGAAAACAAATAGTGGAATACTTGGACATCACGCTCAGAATTCTGCCGAGACCTCAATGGTTATTCCGGGCACTAACCCGCAGGGAAGACCACCCTAACTGCGCACTATCTCAATGACTTAGAGGACTCACGTCCCCGTACTAGAGCCAAACCCTAGCCATCTCAACTTAACAATGTTCCAAGATTCCAAAATAAGCCAAATAAGTTCATAACTTATACATATTACTACTACATAGTAACAAGTTAGCAATATAACTCTCAATTGTGCATAATAAACATTTCATATCCATAATGCTACGAAATCACAAGCCAACAATATATTCATATAGAAACATACTCTCATGAATATAAATTTAACAACAATGCCCTTCAATGCATATAACACAATCAAGTGAATACTTCACAAGTCTAAATCCATTATCTTAAAATAGAAGCACCTTCTAAAATATGATTAAATCCATGGATAAACAAAATAGAATCTAATTACATCAAAATAATTAAACTCTCTAGATTTCAAATCATTTCCAATTGGCCCCAATTTAATATATGCTAATAGACATATCATGGTCATTACATATATTCCCACAAAAGCTTAATTAAGCACACGAAACCACAAAATTAGATTTTAATCAATTCTCTTAATTAAAGTCTCTAAATTTTCAAACTCAACCAAATACTCTCAAATTAAAGTATGTTAACAAACATGCCAAAACTTAATTTAGAAGCATAATACAACTCAATTTCATACAATGTACGGCCATGAACTTTAATCTTTCACAAAAGATAAATATTAATTAAAAAGAGCAATTCTTATTTAATTAATCCAAATTTAATATATGTTAACCAACATCTTAAAATAAGATTTTCTACCATGCCACAATTCAAATCAAAGTTATATATCATCATAAATTTTAAATCTTACACAAAGAATTAAAAATTACTAACTTTCTAGATTTGATACAAGGCACGTATATAAGTTGTATAATCATGCTAAACACTCAATATAACATACACAAAAGCCTAAAACATTCCCTACCTCTATTTGAGATGAAATTTCAAATCCCCACCAAAATAAATCGGCTCCGAATCCGACGAAACTCCTAGGTTTTGTCGGGGACAACACCACGAACATGAATCCCAAGGAAGCCCCATCAAAAACACTACTTGACTTCAAACCTGAACTTCGAAGGCCTCGCCGAAGGGAACAATAAACACTAAGACATTAAGGTATTTCATTGAAGAGAAGAAGCTCAAAAGAAGAGAGAGAAGAAGGCAGCCATGGCTGCCTCTAGATCCGGCCAAGAGAGAGGAGAGAGAGAGCAAAAATCTGATTTTTCACTTAAAGGCCCCCTATTTATAGAAAAACTCAAAAGTGTCCCGAATGGGCCCCGCCGGGTCCGGAAAAGTGAAATCTGAGCAGACGCACTCAAATGGGAAAACTCTGTGTACAAAAAAGATTCCAAATGAGAAAATATGAACAACGGAAGAAACGGCGTCGAAAACCGAGTCCCGAGCAGAGAGTTATACCTAAACCAAGTTTGGCACAAACTGGGGCCAAAAACCCTGAAACTGGAAAATATTGTCCAGGAGGAAATTCTAAGAGTCCACGACTTGACGAAATGTGAAAATGAATCTCATACGAGAATCTAGGCTCAAAACAAGGCATTGACCAATAACTTTCATTAATTGCACAATGATCCCTCCAAAAAGTAAAAACTGCGAAACTGCCCCAGAATGAAAATATCTTCCAAAAGATATTTTCTTAGATACCCTAAAATAAAACATCTTCAAAAGATATTTATGAAAAACACCCCAAGAAAAGAAAAAGTTTCCAAAGAATTTTGCATTTATGCCCCTATGGACACCGAGAGCAACTAGAGTACTTTCTCACGAAAGTAAAGATACGTATCTCATAGAAATCATTGGGAATGAAGATACGTGAAGTCAGAAACCAACTCCGAACACAAAAAGTGTGGTTACGCAAACAGAGTGACAAATGAGGAAAAGACGGAATAAGGAAAAAGACAAAAAGTGAATAGTGTCGAAAAACGAAAAATGTGGGAATGACTCGATCCTCAAAGGAAGTTGTCAATCCACAGAAAAGAGTCTCGAAAATCACCTCAGAGCACTCGAGACGACACTAATCGACAAGAAACCAAACTTAAAAGGGAATAGACAACGAAAAAAATTTATCCGAAAAATCCGGGTCATTACATAACCAATGTCAAACATATGATTAAATCATTAACACTGTAGAAACAGAAATTAATTAAATAAACTAATTAATTTCTCTAAGTTTCAAATCTCAATCAAATAACCCTTAATTATCACATGTTAAACAATATAGCATGGTCATTACATACATCCATTCAAAATCTTAATTAGGCCAATGGACCAACAAAGTAGAATTTAATTAAATCATGGTAATTAAATCTCTAACTTTTAAAACAACTCCAAATAGTCCCAATTTAATATATGCTAGTAAACAAGCCTTAGTCATTACAAATATCAAGTTAAAAACTCAATTAAGCTAATGGAACCTTTAAATCGATTTTAATTAATTCTTATAATTAAAATATCTAGATTTTCAAATTCATTCAAATGCTCCAAAATTAAAGTATGTTAAAGAGCATACCAAGACTTAATTTAATAGCATATCACAAGTTAATTCCATGCAAGGTATAACCATAATAATTAAATTTTCACAAAAGAAAATTATTAAATAAAAGTTGCAATCTTTATTCAAATAATCCCAATTTAATATATGTTAACAAATATACCAAAGCTTAATTTACTAGCATGCCATTTAATTCTAAGTTGAATATCATCATGAGAATTAAATCTTAAACATAGAAAATAATTAAATTAAATTCTAGATTTTGAACAAAGGCATGCATATAAGTTGTATAAGCATCAATAACCTGCAAGACAACAAAAATATAAACTATAACATCCCCTACCTCAATTTGAGATGAAAATCTCAAATGCCACCAAAATGAAACCGCTCCGAATCCGACGAAACTTCAAGGTTTTGTCAGGGACAACACGGTGAATGATAAACTCCAAAGAGGACATACCAAAATCCTAACTTGACCTCAAACCTGAACTCAAAAAATGGCCAAAAACGGATTCTAATAAGGGGGGAAAATGCGCGTAGTGAAAACAAACATAAAACACAAAGGCACTACGACTTTTTAACAAAGGGAAGTAAGTTTAATTGAGAAAAGAAGGGTGTCAGCCCCCTTTGGGCTACCATAGATGCTGCTGGACGTCGATGAAGGGAGGGAAAGATGACTTTTTAATTTTATAACCCCCTATTTATAGTAAAACCCTAAAAGTGCTCCGAAAGGATTCCGTCAGGTCTGAAAAAGTGGAATTTGAGCAGACGTGCTGAAACGGCAAAACTCCATGAACGAAAAAGAACCAAAATGAGAAAAGATAAACAATGAAAGAAACGGCGTCAAAAACCGAGTCTCGAGCAGAGAGATATGTCTCGAACAAGTTTGGCGACAACCGGGGCTAGAAACCCTACAACTGGGGAAAACGACCAGAAGGCAATTCTAAGAGTACATGACTCGACGAAAAGTGAAAATGAATCCCATACAAGGATCCAGGTTCAAAACGAGGCATTTTGCAATAACTTTCCTTAATTACACAATGGCCCCTCTAAAAAATAAAAATTGCACTAATGACCCAGAATGAAAATATCTTCAAAAAGTATTTTCATAAAAACTTGAGATAATATATCTTTAAAAAATATTTACGAAAAACACCCCAAGAAAAGAAAAAAATTCTAAAAAATTATGCATTCATACCCTTATGGACACCGGGAGTAACTAGAGTACTTTACTGCAAAAATAAAAAAACGTATTTCGTAAAAATCACTTAGAATGAAGATACGTGAAGTCAAAAACCAACTCCGAACACAAAAAGTGAAGTTCTGCCAACAAAATGACAAACGGAGAAAAGACAAAATAGGGAAAAAGACGAAAAGTGAATAGTGTCGAAAAAATGAAAATGTGAAAATGATGCGGTTCTCAAAGGAGTTGTCAATTCAAATAAAAGAGTCTCGAAAATCATTCCAGAGCACCCGAGACGACACTAAGTAACGAGAAACTAAACTCAGAAAGAAAAAAATCAATGGAAAAAAATATCCGTAAAAATCTAGAAAAAAATGAGAGGAAGGAAAATGACCGATCATTATAGGAAAAGAAAAATAAAAAGGAAAAAAAAAATATTGAAAATGAAAAGTCTGATACAAAACAAAAACAAAATATCAAATCAAACAATGGCCACCAGTAAAATACTTTGATAAAGGATAAAAGAGGTATTTTAATTTTTATAAAAAAGAGGTCTCCAACCAACAATCAACCAGTAATATGAAACAATATATCCAACCCAAGCAACGATATTGTTGATGCAAAAGTCAAAATAATATACTCCCTATCATCGTCTCTCATCGGAGCTCAACGATCCGCGCCACTCCTCCCGTTTTCTCAGTTTCGTTCAATTTGGGGGAGGAATATGAGGGCTGCTCCGCTCTACTTTGCTACTCTGCTATTTTTAGGGAGCATTTCCCTGTTTCAGCTGCAGGTTGGTTGGTTTTCTCCCTCCCTCTCGTCCCTTACCCTATTATATTTCTCCATGACTATTTATATTATATATATACTACTGTTAGATTAGCTACCTTATACAGTCTTCTCTTGGATCCGATTTCTTTGGCTGTGCTGAGATTGAGGATTTGCTTCCTCTACTTTTCTCCGATTCAATCCATCATCTGACTTCATTTCTCTATTAAAATTAAATTATTTAGGGATTTCTCCCACTACTCTTTTAATTAAATTGTGAAACTTAAACTGACTCTTATATTTAGTCTTACTTACTATCATAGTTTTTAGGTAAGGCCGCGTAATTTGATTTTATTCCTCTTCTCTTCTTGTTTGTGTGCGAGTCTGTGGTGGAGTTGACAAAGATAAATACCGTTTTTCTTGTTGTGGACATCATGGTGGAGACAGTTTAGCCAATGTTTTGTAGAGGATAGTTGAGGTGTCAATACACTAGATTTTTTCTCACCTTTAATTCACATGACATCTTGAAGGTATATATAATATTAATCCCAAAAAGAAGAGAAAAGGGAAAAGAAAGGAAGGAAAGGAAGGTCATAATCCCTTACAAAAGGGCTTTTGAAGTGAGACTAATGTTTGTTTAGTGCATATTTTCACTAATGTTTGTTTAGTGCATATTTTCCACTAATGTTGTTTCTATCTTTGCTTCCTTGTGGGAAAATTCCTTAAACTAATCTTTATTCCAAGTTAGGTACAAAAGATATGATAATGTATAAACTTGCCAATAAAAATAAGTATAAAGCTAGTGACCATAATCAATTTTTGATAAGTAAGGCTAGTAACCATAATCTTGTCAGGTATATTAAGAGAGGTCCTAGTGGACTTGATAAGAGATAAGGAAATTATGGAAAAGTGGAGAAGTGACTTTGATAATTTGTTAAATGAATATCATTGAGAAGGCTTAGACCTTATATGATTACTATCTATATATTAAACATTATATCCCAATATACAAAAATATAGGGGATAAATAATTTGCAGCAATTATGGAGGAATTAAATTAATGACAATAAAAACTAATTTCAATAAAACAAAGACTAAGGTTGAAACCACGGTCTCTAAAAACCAATTTGAATTTATGCCAGGAAGATCCACAATGAAAGTTATTCACTTAATAAGACAATTAGTTGAAGAGTAAAAGTGGAAGCAACAAGGTCTACATATAGTTTCAGAGACATGCAAAAAGCATATAGTAGGATCCTAAGAGATGTAATTTGGTGGGCTCTACATAGAAAGCCAATCTGTATAGAAATGAAAAAGATTTTTATGATATATATATGAAGACAGAAATTAGAGTTCGCTCTATTATGTCAATGTAGTGATATTTCTAGAAACATAGGGTTGCACCAAAGATCAATACTAAGCCCATATATTTTCACAATAATTTTTAGATGAAGTAGCAAACGACTTTAGGGAGACATTTCAGGGTGCATGTTGTTTGCCGATGTGATGTAGGACAAAGAACAGGCTCAAATAGAAGAACGTTACACTACAATTTAATTGTTTGGTAACGCTACTAACAGAAATAAGATTTGCAATCAACTGTGGATCATGAAGTGAATCTAACAAAGTTAATGAAGGAGTAACTGATATGTGACCCTTCTCAGCAATGAAAGATGGAGAGCCATCCGCAAGGCGTACCTTGCGATGGCCAGAGCAGATACTACAAGATTAGAAGAGTGAGGACATACTTGTCATATTGTCTGAAGCACCAGAATCAATGATCCTTGGTGTTGAAGATGTAGATACGCTATGTGCAGACGCAATAGTACCTAAGTGGGCAAAAGTGGAGGTTAATTGAGATGATGCCTTCATTTGGTTGAAGAATTGTTTGAACTTGTCTAAATCAGCTTGAGTCAAGGTAAATGTGGCAGAAGATGTAGAGGCAGAGTTGTCAGGAGTTGACAACGAAACTGGTTGTGTAACAGAATGTGCAGAGGATCGAGACTGTTGTTTCTGTTGCGGTGGGCGTCCATGTATAGCATAACAATGAGATTTGATGTAACCAAATTTTCTGTAATAGTCACACCATCCGCGTTGTCGTCCCAGAGGAGGACTAATGGTAGAGTTCTGAACTGACTGGGATGGTGTAGTTCCTGAAAGGTTGGGATCCCGAGCTGCCATAGTAGAACGATCAATAGAAGCAACACCTAATGGACGAGTCCGACGACTCTCATCTGACAACACATAGGAGTATGCATCCTCAAGGGTAGGGAATGAAGATAAGCCCAATAAATGAACATGAGCATACTCTAACTCGTCGCTCAACCCAGCAAGAAACTGAAACACTCTATTCTTCTCCACAATTCCTGCATATAAAACTGCATCATCTGGATCCTTCCAAGAGTGGAAGGAATCATAGTATGACATCTCCTCCCAAATAGCACGAAGCTTGGCGATGTAACCTGAAACTGTCAAGTCACCCTGAGAAATCCTGGTGATATCTCGCCCAAGCTGGAAAATTCGTGCAATATTCTGCCTCTGAGAATAAGTGCGTTGAACTGAATCCCAAATCTGCTTAGCAATCTTCATAAACATATAGCCAACAACTATGTTTGGTTGCATCGAATTTACTAGCCAAGACATAACAATAACGTTATCTGCAAACCATCGTGGATATGCCTTCTCTGACTCAGCTGGCTCTTTCTCAGAAACAGTAATATAGCCAATCTTGCCTTTGCCACCAATGAACATCTTGGCAGACTGTGCCCAAATCAAATAGTTGGAGCCATCCAACTTCACTGTGGTGATTTGAAGTCCTGGATTTTATGATGAGTTGGTAGGAAAATGGCACCACCACCCACAGAACTTGAGCCAAGAGAATTAATAGTCGAGGACCCTGAATCTGGTATAATCTGTCACACGACAATAAAAAAACTCTAAAAACACCACAAATTCTGTTAATAAATCAAAGGGTCTCCTAAGATCATAAATAATAACAATGTCTCCTCAGACCATTCTCGAAAAATCCAAATACATACTTTTTTTTTTTTTTTCAAGGAGCGTTGCCTGTTTACATATAACCAAACAACCTCCTTCTTAATATCTGGAACTTCTTTGTAGACTAATTTTTTTTTTTTCCCAAGCCCTTCTAGGTGTTGGAGACCAACTATCCCAATTTACCTAACGAAGAGTAAAAAAGAAATTGTAAAACTTAAAAATACTTGTTTTCGATCACAAAACATGTGTAGGCAACGTCACACGATGTCACAAACAGCCTAAGGTGGCTGTCGCACAAGTAACAAGGCTGCTGAAAGGTGTGGAAAGGTGTTGGCTCTGATACCAAGTAAAAATATAATAAGAAGAAAAAAGTAGAGAATTGTGTAAAGGCTTGAATGAGATGAATCACTCATTCACAACTCTAGTATTTATAGATAAAAAGAGCACATGCTCATATTACAAGAAAAGAAACTAAATCAAATCACAACATATTCTAAAGCATATTCTATGGCATAATCAAATCTCTGCTAATATGGTAAGCCATTTCATAAATCGTGGCTGTTATATATACTAACATATGGATAGTCAAATCTCTGCTATGATGGTAAGTCAATCCATAAATCATGGATATCATATATGCTAACAATATGTTAGAGGCTTGGAGAGGGAGACCAGTGGGCACTCGGGTTAGAAAAGCTTGGAGGGTTGCCCCTCTTTGTGTATGGTGGGGGTTGTGGCACAAGCGGAACAGGAGATCTTTTGATGAAAAGGAGTCGCCGGCGTGGGTTATTAAGTTGAATATAGTAGAAATACAATGTAGAAGTAAGAGAAGAGAAAGATGTAAAAAGTTTGAATGAGATTTATAATATATAAATGCTTGAATGATATCAATCACTCATTCACAGCTCTAATATTTATAGATAAAATAAGAGCACATGCTCATATTACAAGAAAAGAAACTAAATCAAATCCGAATCAAATCTCTGCTAATATGATAAGTCATTCCATAAATCATGGCTATCATATATGCTAACATATGCATAATCAAATCCATTCTAATATGGTAAGTCATTCCATAAATCATGGCTATCATATATGCTAATACTCCCCCTCAAGTTGGTGCATGGATATTTGAAACGTCCAGCTTAGACAACGCATCTTCAAACACGGTCTTGCTAACACCCTTCTTCAGAATCTATAAGTTGCAAAGTGCAAATCTGACTAGATTAAAAATGTCGATCAACAAACCAAAAATGTCTCCTCAGACCATAAACAACCAATCACGTCTCCTCAGACCGTAAACAACCAACAATGTCTCCTCAGACCGTAAACAAACAATAATATGTCTCCTCAGATCGTAAACAAACAACAATAGGTCTCCTCAGACCGTAAACAACCAACAATGTCCCCTCAGACCATTCCCCTTCACATGTTTGAAACATGTAGATGGAAGAATCAACAATATCTCCTCAGACCATTTCTGAATAGGTGGTGTCAAGCTCGCAACACCCTTATTGAGGTCGGATCACCTTGCCTACCCGACACCTCCCGGATGGGCGATCTCACCTTAGACCATTCCCGAATGGGTGGTGCCAAACTCGCAATGCCCTCATTGCAGGCGGACCACCCTGGCTCTAATACCAAGTAGAAATAAAATATAGAAGAAAGAGAAGAGAAATATGTAAAAAGTTTGAATGAGATTTATAATATGTAAAGGCTTGAATGATATCAATCACTCATTCACATCTCTAGTATTTATAGATAAAATAAGAGCACATGATCATATTACAAGAAAAGAAACTAAATCAAATCTGAATCAAATCTCTGTGGATATGTCTTCTCTGACTTGGCTCTTTCTCAGAACCAGTAATATTGCCTTTGCCACCAATGAACATTTTGGCAAACTGTGCCCAAATCAAATAGTTAGAGCCATCTAACTTCACTGTGGCGATTTGAAGTCCTGGATTTTCTGATGAGTTGGTGGAAAAAATGGCACCACCACCCATAGAATTTGAGCCAAGAGAATTA